AGCGCAGCATGGCGAAGGTAAAGGACACAACCATGATCATCATCGGCGTCGTGGCGTTCATTGCCGTTGCAGCCGGTGGCTTCGGCGAGCACGCGCTGGGCCCGAACATGACTCCCGAGATGAAGCATGCGTGGGGTCTGGCGGTGCAGTTTAATCTTGTGCATGCCGTCGCGATGATGGCGTTATTTGCCGCCATGAAGTCCATTGACCCCGACAGCTCCGCTGCCAGACGCCTCAACCGCGCCTTCTACCTTCTGCTTCTGGGCACCACTCTCTTCGCTGGCTCCATCTACGCCATGGGCTTGGGTGCTCCGGGCAAGACCGTGGGGCCGCTGACGCCAGTTGGCGGCGTGACGCTGATGACGGGGTGGCTCACCGTCGCCTTCGCTGGCTTTTGAAGGCATTTAGTGCACAGATGTTTTTTTATTTGTTTTTGTGTCTTTTTATTTGTTTTTGTTTTTCTTAGCAATGAGATGGAGCTGGCCTGTAGTGCATGCGCAGCATTAGAGGAGGGAGTGAAACAAAGCAGGGTATATAATGTATACAATACATGTATATGTATACATTACGCTTTTTTATTTTTATTTTTATTTTTAACTAAATAGCCAACTTTTTTTGTTTACCAGCACGTTGGGTCGGGGTGGCTTGATTTTCCCAACAGAAACACCCTTAGGATAATACACGGACGCGGCGTTGAGACTCTACTGCTGCGCGCATCAAGACGTGCTGAGTTGTTTTTGAAGCCTTGCGGGGCCATTTGTTCCGTATTCCGCATGGTGTTTTTTTTTGTGTTTTTTCCGGGACCACACGGCGGCGCGCTCCGGTGCAATGAATTCATAGCTGTGATTCTTTTTTTTTTTTGGTTTTTCTGTGCAGTTGCAGTTGTTGCGTTTCCATTGCGAAGAGGAGAGAGAGGGTTGCCGGGAGAGGTAAGAAACCACACGCGGCTGGTTTTGGGTTGAGGGCACACACGCAGACACCGGTGAATGCCTCCGAAGGTGGTCATGGCGACGGAGGTGGATCCGATGTTGCAGGGCACCTACCTGCAGGATGACGCAGATGACTTTGTATCGACTTCAGAGGCGCTAGATCGATTTGAAGCCCGGCTGGCACGAGGGGAGGGGAGGGGGCCTGTGCACAGTGAGCGGCCTTCGAGGAAACATTTGCCGCAAGCGTATGGCGCCGCCCCTGTGCCACATCTTCGAAAGTCTCACGCAGTCCGACAGCAGTCTCCAACGCAGCAGCAGTTGTGTCAACAGAGTCGCAATGGGCGAAAGAGTGCAGACGGTCTTTGTCGGGCTAACGAGGGATTGACTGACGACGTGCAGGAACGCCTGGAAGATATTGAGGCGGTTCGTCAGTTGGGCAACGACATAGTTGGGGATGAGGATTAATCCTCCGTTTTTATGTTTTTATTATTTTTATTATTAGACATGGCACACCATTGCTGTGTTTTGCAGTTGTTATTGCTTTTTTACGGTGGGCCTTGAGGTGTTCGATGCGTTTGGACAGAGACTTGGAGACAGAGACTTGGTCTCTTCTTTGTGGGTGCTGCTTTTGTGGGAGCTGTGATTGGTGAGGTGTGTATTGAGGCAGCCAATTGCTGCTTGGAAGGAGATAAATGTACCTGCACACATAAATGGGCCACATTTGGTTGTGACTCATCCCGGTGTGTTTGGCTTCCTCCGTCTTACTGCCGCCTCATCACTTCCTCACGCCCTGTAGAATAGTTTCTTCTTTGTTGTTTGTTTGTTAGCACTCACCCTCTGTGTTTTAGTTTTCTTTTTGTTCATTTTTCACTCTCCATGTTGCAGAGCGTCGTTTCGAGAAGGCTGCGGGGGAGACGCAGCCTGCTGTTTTTGGACGCACGCATCCGCATATTGCCCGGTGTGGATGCAGCACACTCGTTCCATGCGTGACATTTCTGTGGATTCCGACGCGCTTTGCATGCCTGCGAGCCGAACTCTTGGAGGCTGCTCAGGGGCGCAAGGTGGCCATCTTAGCGCTGGAACGGCAGCGCCTGCCTTTCTTTTGGAATGCTTGCGAGACACACCTGCTCGTAGCACATCTGGAGAAGGAGGAGCTTTTCTGGCGGTTGTGGTGGAAGAAGAAACTTTCTTTTTTTTTCGGTCCAGATCTTTAAGCGGGGCGGCTCACGAACGGCTAACTCGTCAGGCGGCAATGGTGGCTCAGGGAAAGGGCGTTTTGTCGCATCTAGGGGGTCTGCTCGCCCCATGTGCGACTGGACCTGGAAGGAGGGAAAGGCGGTTCTCTGGAGGAGCCGACGGATGTGGACGTGAGGGTCGTTTGCTACTCCTTTCAATGCTGCAGTGGAGCTTCGGTGTTGTCTTGTCCTTTGCGATGCCGAGGACAAGAGCGATAATTGTGGTGGCGTAGATCGGCGGACGCGCAATGGCCATAAAAGTCAAGGAAGTCAACGCGTACCATTTGTCCTAACGTACGTTGACGGGAATGCGGGCTTCTCTGAGGGAAGCACCACATTTGGGTACGTTGGGACAGCGACGGATGGAGGCGCGGCACGCACGATAACGTTTCCACGTGTAGCACTCGACCGTGCTGAGGCAAATTTGCTGCACACCCTTCTAGCCACCCACCCTTGCACGCAGTATGGCATCATTCCGCCACTGGAAGTGACTCTGCGTGCCTTGGCGCCTCCTGCCATTGTCATCAAGGAGGTGTCAGTCACGGACACGTTTGCACAGGTGAGGCGTCGTCTCGGTCTTCAGAGACAAGAGGGATTTTCTCAATTTGTTGAGAAGCAACTGCAGGTGTGTGTGGACGCATGCACCGATGGAATTGTCACACAGGTGGCGTTTAAATGCCTCGAGACGGACCTGCAGAGGCGAACGCACTGCGTGGGAGGCAATGAATTGGGTGGGGGTGAATGATTGCAAGAAACAGTTTCTGGGAGAGGGGCGCTAGGGCTTCCATTGTTGTGTGCCGTTTGCGGCGAGGAATGTGCGTGAGGTAACACCTTCATTGATGTTTGTGGTGGAAGTGGCTATGGAGTCCATGCCGCATTATGATGTATTCTGAGAGTGTGTTGAGGTATGTTCCCTTTCGGCGGGAAAGAGTCCGCGCACCGCTAACCACCCAGCAGCACCTCTCGAGAATTTTACGAGCACAGTTTCCCACAAGTTTTTCCATGTTGCTGGTTTCGTGGAGGCCAAAGCCGTGTGCCCCAGGATGACGATGCCCTTGAGTCTCGCAAGAACGCCATGAAGACAACGTTCATGGTAGCCGGCGGCAGTGCATCGTGTTCATTGAGTCCATTACCCGAAAAGTCCGAGCCAGCTGCCAATAGAGTGAATGAATGTGAATTGAAGATGAGAATGAATTCCTTTATCCTCGATGAAAATGTTGTGATTGGCCTTACCTTCCGCATGAGATGTCCCAGCTGGATGTGGATGTGCCCCCACAACTTGTTTTGTATCCCCATACTTTCATGAATGCGCGGCGTGATGGCGTCGAGGTGCTTCTGGTCAGATGGTCGGCGATACGGCACGGCACGACAGTTGCTAAAGGTGGTGAAAGGCGACGAGCACCGTCCCTGGACCAGGCGTTGGAGCGGTGTGATGATTCCTCGTTGTGCTGGTTGCTGCGAGACCCTTCACGTGGATGTGTTGTGTTGCATCGATGCAATGGTGGGGTGGAGGCCCGTGGCTTCGAATATTTTGCTCCGTCGTCGCCTATCCCGCGCGTCTGCGCTGGTGGTGTTGGTTGTAACGGCGCCTCGTGTGTCTGTGGTTTTTGGGTCGAGCGACCTGCACGGAGTCTGGGGAGGAGTCCATGACACTGCAAGAAGCCGACGATGGTGTTGCAGCGTGTAACTGGACTCCGTCGGAGGAGGAAGAAGGCGCGTCGTTCATTGTGTTTGCGCAGCGGGGGCGGCGCTTCTTCCTTTACTCCCTTGATGACCGGGAGGTGATCTTGCATTCCAGCTTGCCGTTGCTGGACTCTCCGGTGGGCGTGGAGGATGCAGGCGACAATCAACAGTACACTGGCGTCGCATCGGTGCTTGCGTGTGTGGTGATATTGTGTTGTGGGCAAACACGGGGGTTGAGATGCTTTTTCACGCCTCCACCTGGAGACGCCGGCAGCTTTACACAATCGATTTACCCCACACCGGCATCATGGAGCTGTGCCCGGTGTGTTCGTTTGTCTGTGACACCACCGACAGCGGGGGCGGCGGCGGGAGCGACGTCGTCTTTGCTGTCCCAACCGAGGCTTTGGGAAGAACGGTTCTGGTGTTACTGCTTTCTAACGGCAGTGTCGTCGGTCTATTGCTGGACGGCAACGTTCATGTTTTGGGCTTCTTGGCACCCTTTTTTTTTTTCTTCATTGATTTTGTTTGGCTCTCCGGGTGCATTGACTCCCGAGGGTATGCCACATGTCTCTTCTCTCACGATGTGGAATGTGCGGGTGAATGGTCGAGAGGTGGTGTCCGTTTTGTGGGTTGGCTCCAAATCACGTGCTGCGATGGGCCCACGTGTAGTACAGTGAACAGGGCCAAGATGGCTGGTGGGACAGGCGAGGCTCTCCGGTGTCGCGGTGGTAAAAATGCTGTCTCGAGGGATAAGATATATATATATTATATTATATTAGGCATACGTACTTGCACGGCACCCATCCCCGAGTATTCTTCTCTATGAAGTCTCACCATCCGTTAGTGGGCCTGCTTGCTTTTATTTATATCGTTACATCTATACACACACATAGGAAGAGAGAGTATGTGCGTGTAGTAGTATTATTATTGTTGTTTTGCTTTATTTATTTGCTGCATTTCTGTAAATGACGGATGCTCTTCTTTTACATTCCGTTGCTTGTCGTTGTCGTTTTTTAAATTCCCGTTGGGGAGGCAACTCTTTGCATCACCGTCGCCGGTACTGATATTTATGTTTTAGTCGATGGATGATATTAGCCAGGTGGTGAAAAACTACTACGCGGTAATTGGTCAAAAGGATGAAGACATTTTTGAGCTCTACCGTGACAACAGACGCCTGCAGAAGCAGCTGGGGGAGGTGCTCATGGGTGAGGAGGAACGCGAGACTGACCGGCGCACATTGAAGCTTTTGGTTGCGACGCTGCAGACCGAGCTACGGGAGAAGCAGGTGCTTATTGACGCCCAGCAAAGGGAAGGTGCCGCCATTCGCAGTGCCGTTTGGCGTGCCCGTGAGATTTTGAATATGTCCTCTGAGCTGGACTACCCCGTTGAGGCTGTCATCGGTGCCTGTATCAACCTGTACACGGAGTGCGCCGAGTTGCGGGCGCGACAGGAATATTTAGTTGGTGCTGAGACGCATTTAAGGTTGCTGGTGTGCCGCACCTTGTTTTGGGCAGAACAGCACGCCCGTGACGCCGTTGCGGATGCCTGTAACGGTGCCTACGTCACCTTGGCACGCCTCCTACGGTGTACAAAGGAGACTATGGTTGAGAAGCAGCGGCTCTGCGAGTCCCACAGAGCGGCTGAGAGTGCGCAGAGCGAGAGAATGGAGCTGATGGAAAAACAGGCGCAGTTGGAACGCTCTCAGCAGGAACGTGTTGTGGAGGAGTGGAGGGAACAAGTAACGTGCGTCAACAGGCGCCTGCTGTTGTTTCAGAGGTGCCTGCACCACGAGCGTGCAGAGAAGGAGTTGCTTGTGGAGGCGGCGTGTAGCCGGTTGGACTTGATGGTGGAGCGAGGCGCGGATGTGGAGCGTTTGTTGGCATTGGTGTTTAGATGTCTTGTCCGTCATGACAAGCAGCTGCAGGAGGTGAGGTATGAGGCGGCGGTGCTGCGTGGGAAGTTGCAGAAGGTGCGAGCTGACTTTTCCCGCGCAAAAGCCCTTCTTCGGCGGAAGCGGCAATCAGACCAGCGGGAGCAGCAGTTGGGACTAGACTGCAGCGGTGGTAGTAATACCATGACGAGGGACAATGGTGAGAAGGAGAAGAGCGACAGCGTGCATGATGCCTTCCGTGCACTGCAGGTGGAGCACGAGGCGTTTAAGGCGGAGTGGCGGAAGTGCGCTGAGCGCGAACGGGAAGCGCGACGGCAGGCAGCCGCAAGGATCAATACACTGAAAGCCGAGCGCTCTGCATGCGAGATCGCAGTTGCGGCGTGCCAAGAGCGTTGCGCAACGCTCGTGAAGGCGTTGCAGCGTACGCGGCTGGAGGCAAAACGCCATGCAAAAGAAGTGCGTCACATGCAGGAACGGCGTGATGCGGTGCGTGACGAAGTGAATCTTTATGCTGAACGAATTAAGAGCCTAGAAGAGATGAACCGGGTGCTTGGGGAGAGGAACATGGCACAGCTTTCATGCGTGGAGAGTCTGCAGAAAGAGTTACGGGAGAAGGAGGAGGCGTTGAACTCCGCGGAGCGTGCTTTTTGTGAGCGTATTGCCTTCCTTGAAGGGAGACTGCATATGGAAAAGGAGGGGTTTCTAGGTGAGCTGAAGGAGTGGACGTTGGTGCTGGAGGAGGCGCGCAAGAAACTCGTCGTCGCGGAGAGTGAGCGTGACCGCGAAGCGATGCTTCGGGGCATGCTGGTGGAGCAGCACCGAGAAGAGGAGCGGATGCTAAAGAAGGTTTTGGCGGAGGAGCATCAGGCGGCCGTAGTGGTACTCCAGGGCAAAATAGATGTGCTTGAGCTTGCCTGCGGAAGAAGCGCAGCGGTGATCGCGGAACTTCGTGAGTTACTACATCGGGCCAAAACAGAGACCAGCACCGCCTAGTGTTGCGTGCTAGCACGCATGTCTTCTTCCTTCACCATGGTGGACGCACCCTCATGGCGGTTGTGCAGAAGATGTTGTCGAGGATGCGGGCCGGATCTCCGCTCGTGGCGTGTCAGTTCTCCCCCTCCCCCCCCCCCACTTAGTTTCTCCTGTTTTTTGGGTGCACATCCCTCTCGCCTCACAACCCTCAGAATTGCCTTTGTGGCTACTGAGTAAAACCGGAAGGAAACTGGGAGGTGGGGAAGAACAAACAAACGCGAATGGTGAATGAACTGTTATGCTCTTTAATTGTTTGCCTCCTCTTTGCTCTCTCTATCCCTATCTTCTGCTGCCACTGTTTTCAATTTTGCCCTTACTCTGTTTTTTTTACCAAGCGAAAAACTAGCGAGGGCCGTGTGTACCACCACCCGTGTGTGGAAAGAGGGAGGGAAAGAGGACATCGATAAGCACGTGGAAGAGGAGAGGAGCAGCAATGGGCGAGGTAGAGCGCATAGTGGAGCGGGAGGAAACTGACATCCAAGCAAATGTCTTAGCCATTCCAACCTTTGAGGCAATGGGACTAAAGGAGGAGTTGCTGCGCGGCATGTATGGGTACGGGTACAAGAAACCCACCGCCATCCAGAAACGGTTTATTGTGCCGTTCACCCAGTCCCGTGACCTTGTGGCGCAGGCCTCCTCCGGCTCCGGTAAGACATCAGCCTTTTGTATTTGTCTCCTGCAGGTGTGCCAATCAACGCTGCGAGAAACGCAAGGGCTGGTGCTCAGCCCCACGCGAGAACTGGCGCTGCAGACGCAGGATCTTTGCAACAACATTGGTCACCACATGGGTCTCGCCGCGTACGCCTCTATTGGAGGGAAGAGCATGGATGATGACATACGCAGGCTGGAAAGCGGGGTGCAGATTGTCTCTGGCACCCCGGGGCGTGTGTTTGACATGATCAAGCGGCGTCACTTGCGCGTGAATCACCTCAAGACACTTGTGCTGGACGAGGCGGATGAGATGCTTGGCAAGGGGTTCAAGGCGCAGATTCACGACATCTACCGCATGATTCCACCACTGCAGGTGGTGCTCGTCTCTGCAACGCTTCCGGTAGATGTGCTTGACATGACTGAAAAGTTCATGACGGAGCCAGTGCGTATTCTCGTTAAGCGTGACGAAATTACGGTGGACTCCATCATGCAGTACTTTGTGTCGGTGGATGAGGAAAAAAACAAGTTTGAGACCCTTTGCGATCTCTACGACACTCTCACCATCGCCCATGCCGTCATCTTTTGCAACACCCGCAAGAAGGTTGAACAGTTGGCGAAGAAAATGACAAAGGAGAAGTTTTCTGTGAGTTGCATGCATGGCGACATGCCGCAGGCAGAGCGAGATGAGATTGTGCGAAACTTCCGTGAGGGCAAAAGCCGGGTGCTTATCTCAACCGACTTGTGGTCTCGCGGCATTGACGTGGAGCAGGTGTCACTTGTGCTGAACTACGATCTGCCTTTTTCCCGCGAGCAGTACATCCACCGCATTGGCCGCACGGGGCGCATGGGCCGCAAAGGCCTAGCGATTAGTTTTGTGAAGCATGACGAGCTTCGGCTGCTGCGGGACATTGAGCAGTTCTACGCCACGCAGATTGAGGAGCTGCCCGCAAACATTGCGGATCAGTTCTAAGCATCGGCCATGCGGGTGACTCCGCGAGGGCGTGAGATGACGTTTTTTTTTTTTTTCGCGGCGCAGCCGAACGAAGAAGAGGCACACATGACAACAAAGCACAGGAATAAAAATTGGTTGGGGAGAGAAGCTGGAGAAGAAATGATGGCATATTGAAAACGGTGGGAGGGTCCGTATTTTGGTCCCACCCAACGCATCAGAGAGGAGGAGATGGAGGGGTGAGGATGGAAAATGCAGCGAGAGACTCATCGGAAATGTGCATGCAGCAGAAGAGAGTACGGGGGGCATGGATCGTTGGGCAGCGAAGCGAAGGGGGCGAACGGTGGCTTAACCAGTGCGCCTGCCTATCGCTGGTTCTCGCCCTGTGCGTGCGTGCGTGCGTGTCACACTTCTTCGGTTAACGAGAAATAACGAAGTTGCGGTGCTAAAATAGCGCCCAAAAAAAAAAGGAGGAAGGAAAGGAGGAGCGGCAGAACAGCAGCAGGCGCCGTCCCCGCTGGGGAAGTATACAAGCAGGTATGACTGTAGGTATATTATGTGTCTCTCCCTCTGTGTGTGTGTGTGTACGTTATGTGTGTGGGGCGCCATCTGCGCAACGAATTTATTGAAAAACTAGTTAAACGGGCTGAAATTTTACTTTTTGTTGCTGCTGCTTTTTTACTTCTTGCTGTTGTTGTTTCGTTCTTTAGGTCTCTTCTTTGCTGCCATGTCTGGGTGCTCGTTTCCTGTGCGGACCCCAATCTCCGCGTTATCTGCAACCAGTGAAAGTGAGTCGTGGGGAGGGGGTGGCGGTGGATGGGTCCCCTGCCGGGGCTAGAGACACTGCGTTCTGGGAAGGAGGATGCGTTCCTGTTCGCTAGGGGAGCGTGGAGTGAGGAGAGCAGCGTGCCTTCCTCCTATTTCATGGCACTGAGGAGTGAGACAGAGAGCAACTCCTGGGCGACGAAGCTTTCGCGCGCGGACAGCAGCAGTGGCAGCGTGGGGAGGCGGCGGGGAGTGACCCCCCACAGGGATCTCGTCGGCAACGCGGGCGAGATACGCCGGCGGGTGCACTGCGCGAGTGTCGCAGGAAGAGTGCGGCGCCGCGTGTCATGGGTGGGATGGTGAAGGCAATCTGCTGCAGTCGAGACTGTCCCGTGAATTTGAAACGGAGTTTGCTGCGGCGCTGGAGACATGATGCGTTCCTTCCGCCTCTTTTTGGTCCATTGACGGCAGATATGCAAATGGAAATTCCCGTCACATGTGCCGCCTTCGTCGCCTCACGGAAGAGCATGCTGGGCATTCAAATAAATCAACACTCACTTCTCTCATGGCAGCTTTCCATTGTGTGGCAACAACATTACTGGCTTTGTAAGTCTGTGCCGCAGAAAGAAGAATGCATACGGGGCTCTTGTAAACGCACCTCTTTCTTCGGTGGGCGCGGCGAGGCGGAGACGTCCTCGTTGTGGTCAAAAACGGCTGATGATTTTCATTTCATTCCGCCCACGATGGCGAGCCGGGAGAAGCTGCTGTCAAGAGGCTGCAGGAAGACACGAATGCATTGCATGCCCTCCTGTGGGAACTGCAGCGCATTGTGGTGACGCATCAGCAACTTCTGTAGTAGCTTGGAGGAGACACAGCGTCATGCCGTGGAGGGTTCGAGAATTGCTGCAAGGCTTGGCCTTAAGCAACAGTGTTGCGGCGAGAAGGCAGCCTGCGGGTGCTGCACCATCGTGTGAGGGCAAAGGGGAGCCACCGGCGGCACTGCTCCTACACTTGCACGTTTGCTGGCCCTCACTGTTAGCGCTGGCCGAGGACTGAGCACTAGAGATATGAATCTGTTTGCTCTGCATTATTTCTGGCAGTTATTTGTTTTTTGTTTTTGTTTTTGTCCCCGCCTTTTGTTTTTATCTCTTTCTCTTTCTCTCTCTCTCTCTTTTTGTTATTATTCCCCATCGAATCCTTCCCTCGTTGGGAAAGGGTAGCGGTCACCTCTATTGTGTGTATTTGGGTGTTCTCAACTATTTGTTTCAAAGACATCATCTATCATTACCTGCGATGGTCGCGGCTGTGGCCTGAAGCTGCTCCAAGGGTTTATACGGGGGAATAAACTATGCGGAGCGCCTGCATCTCAATCTTACACATTTTTCACAGCCCCTGTGGCAAATGCAGAAGAGCGACATGCAGAATAGGTACGGAAGCGACAAAAAAAAACAAGAACGAAAGAATGCCGCCATCACATACATGTGGGCGGCTAATTGCTTTTGGGACGGCTGGCTGCAGCGAGGGGAGCGTCCCCACAGAGAGATGTGGGGATTTATGTTTATCACTCTCTGTGTGCTCTTCCGCCATGCCTCCTGGTTCTTCCTTTACTCTTTCCGGGTGGGCGTTTGTTTTCTCTTTTTCTTTTTTCATGTCTTCCTACTATGTGGGCCACGCCGAGGAGGCCAGAAGAATGGCGGTACTTCTTCGGGAAGCGGTGCACTCGGTGTGTCTTTTTGTTTGTGGCGTCTTGCGGTCTCATGGCGACTATATTTTCAGCTCGCCCTTGGATCACAATTATTTCTTCTTCACTGCACCGTCCCAGGAAGAAACTCTCCTGTGTTGCAGGAAACTTGTGACAAACCCAGTGTTTTTTGGTGAAGGCACTTGTGTGGCGGCGTGTTTCTTCTGAGGTATTGTTATTGAGTTGTATCCACTGATTTTTATTTTTCTCTTTTCTTCTTGCGGCACATCAAGGGACGTCACACCCACAGAATCTAAAATACACAACTGTTTCTACGATGGAATTGCGGGCAAAAACGGTGCCGGCAGTGCCACTTCACACCGTTATTTCGCTGCAGCAGCTGCTTCTTCTTGCGACGATGTATTGCGCCGTTGGGTGTATTGCCGCCAATGGATCGAGTCGCGGCTGTGCATTCGACGAAGTAGTGCAGAAATACGGCCCGCTCCCAACCACAGCTGTGCGTGAG